AAAAGTATATAGTTAGTATAGTTGGCCAATTTTTTTTGGTCACATATAACCGATACAATGTATGCAGCACAGGTGCTTGAGGACAAGACCCCCCCCCCCCCCCCCCCTTCCCTCGGGATATGAAAGCATTGAAATTTAAAAAAATAATTATGAAAAAAGATTATTGTATGTCTGATTAGGATTGTGAAATTCATTAGGTGTTTTAAAAGCTTCTTTCCTTTAATATTTGTTAGAAATCATTCCCCTTTAAATAATTCGAGCTATGTTTTTATACATTTATAGAGAGATTCTGTATAATAAAATGCAACTCAATAAAACTCATATCTTTGACTGTATTTTTACTGCAGTGATCTCAAGAAAAGAAAATTTAAAAGTTCTTCAATGTAGGATTATCACGTTACAGTTGAAATGACATATTAATGTTGAATGACCATAATCAATTTTTCATTGAATGCTTGAAGGAACAGAAAATATATTCATAGATGTGTATTATGCCTATGAATTTATTTATACACCGTCTCCCTTGAAATATCACAAATTGATTTAAGCAACAGTTGCTGTTTTTCTAATATGTCTGAGTGTCTACTTAAAATTGCAACACAAAATGTCAACATGCAGGTAGCTGTGTTTCAAAAAGAGTATACACTTTGTAATTAAGTTCTATTTTGTGTAATTTTATTATTTTTAAGTTTACTCTCTTGCTCTTTATGAATGCACGGACGTTATGTAATCTTGAAAGAATTTGAAATCACAAAAGTTTCTTTTTCTTTCTTGTTGAAAATATAGCATGCTATTCAAATTTGGAAATTGCAAATAGTTTATACGCAATGTAATGTTTTAGAAGAAATATGTCTAAGAATTAAATTTTCAAAGAGCAATATCTAGCAATCTTAGAAAATGTAATCGGACTTCATATCTACAATGGATAAAATGTAAAACCCAGCTCGATAAGATTATTATTTTTTTCAATGTCAATGTACAGTGTATATCAAATATTATTTTCATCAGGATATTTCAATACGCATTGTGTGGATTGATCTGTATAGCTCAACAAAGTGACAAATATAGCGTCAACTAAAAGGGTTTATCAAATTCCGACAAGTTAATGTGTATAAGTATAGAATTAACAAAAACACAGTTCATGTTCCTACAGTTATTTACTGACTGACTCTCCTACATGTAGCTGCTAATCTTTCAAAATTAATAGTGCATATTGGTGCAATTAACTACTTATTCTGTCGAAATATGGTGCGGTTTACCATACCATTATATTTATAAAATAATCAATATCATGTTTAGGTACGATTCTGAAAAGACCAAGGTTCAAAATTGACATTCTTTAAACATCATATTCAAATGTAAGAATTACAAGGTGTGCTACTACTTTCCGAGTTAAAGAGACCGCATGATTTATCTGTGTATAGTGGTGCATCGGAGTTTATTCTTTTGTTTAAAAAGATCAATCAACGCCCTCACTGGTAAAGAAGTATTGCTTAGAACGAAGTCTGTAATGCATTGATACAGTTTACACTATGTAGCAATTGCTCCTATTCCCAGATTTACAATTTCGAGTAGGATGAACTGTATAAAATGACAAAATACTGGATTTCCTATGATGGCCTTTATACCAGATTTATCATTCAAATTGAAAATCTCCATCACAAACTATTTTTCTCATATCATTACAGACGCGACCCTGTATTAACCTTTGTGTGAATTTAGTATGTACGTTAGTTGCGTGAGAAAATGCCGCAGATAACAAGTAACCACATATAGTTATTCAAAGTTTAATGATATCAAGTAAGCGTTACATAAAACATTAGTAAAGCAATTATTTAAGGAATGACTCTAATTCTTGGCCAAATTATTCGAGTATAACCTGGTTTGGGTCAGTTTACGCTTTATAATCCGCGAAGCGGATTATAAAACAGCGTAAACTGACCCAAACCAGGTTATACTCGAATAATTTGGCCAAGAATAAGAGTCATTCCTTATAATTTAATTTTAAAATCATTAAATAACTATGGGTGTAAAATTTCGTTGCTTTTTATTAGTTCAAATTTGCCGCTCAATAATACAGCCATAGTAACGGAAGTAACGGAAGTGATGGGAAGCGAGGGGAGGTAAAAACTGATACATAGGCCTAGCAGCCTTGTTGTTTGTTTACATGTGGTAAGATCGAATTATTGTTTGAAGTTAAAGGTACATTTATTAAATCTGGAATTTTCCATGAATCCCGAGGACTGGAAATGAGAGGATTGTATGGATACAGATGATTCAGCTGGTTGTCAGGAGGGTGTGTCCCCATACCAAACCAGGTTATACAGAAATAATTTGGGTTCCTTTTTGGATATAAACCAATCAGAGGCTAGAATACAAACAAAATTAAATTATAAAGTAAGAATGCTTTATAATTCATTTCAGACGTTATATGAAAAAAAAAAAAATTACATAAAAATTTTATGAACAAGTCATATATGACTAAAAATTACAATCACAAAATCACGGGATAAAGCTAATAAATCTAACATATTGTTTGCATTGATGCTATTTTGATAGTAATAGTTTTCTTTTTTTTTAAATTTTGAAAAGAAGTCAAAGGTTTATGCATAACATTTTCAGAACGTCAAGTTAGAAAAAAATAAAGACAAACCGTGTATTTTAGAAAATTAACCTTAGAAGGAAACAACTGTGAATGGGTATTCAATCAAAAGCACATACTGCTACTTGAAGAAATTAAAAAAAAAAAACCAAGGCAATTTCTCTCTTAAACTGAATTACGGTGTTATAATATATTTTTATAAAATAGCAGGATGTATGCGCCTAAAGATAAAATCACGCCACATCCTTTCAATTTTCTTTAAGCTTAATTTTATACTGAGTTGGATTGAAAAGTGTTTTATAAAAGTGTTTTAAAATTATAGCTTGTGGAGTTTGAATAATATAACAGCAAAACGGGTAAGAATGCATGATTCTCTTTGAAACTGTTCTTGCTTAAAACTTTTACTCTCATATCTATACGAGGATAGTTGTTTAAATAACTGAACGAATGGATAGTTTATCAGGACACAATGCATTGTTTTATTTCCAATTTTCCTCTCCATCTTGTTATATTTATACAAAGCATAATTGTGTTTCGTGCAAATTGGCGGGTATTTTATGACAATACAGATACGCACTTAACGTACGGGTGGGTGGTTTTAAGGAATTTAAAATGATATAGTTGATTTACAGGAAAGTGTTGAAATGTAATCTAAAAAACAAGAACTTTGAAATATACAATAACCGTAAGAATACAGAAAATATATAGAGAAAAATCTGTCTATACATTCTAAGCAAAATACCAATGTATATTGTACTAGACTACACTTGCGTTGTAAAGTATCCAATATTGTGACGCCCACATATCACATTTATCATATAAAATACACAGCACATGCTATGTCTCAGTGTGTTGATTGAAATGTGGAACACACAATTAACGTAAGTGAGCTCTATTTTGTAGCACTAAATGGAACAAATTCCAATTCTTTGTTTTGTCCCAATTTTAATATCTTCTTGATGTCTTGTATATTATTATTTTCCACGCAATGATTTTGTACTTTGGACAGCTTACATTGTCTCTCTCTACGTTTTAAGGGAAATATAAGAAATTGTGGGTATTTAAAATAAGAAGTATATAAAAATTGAATCAAAGGATAATTTTTGTGTACTTCTTTCTCTTTGTGTTTCATATTGAGCTGAACATGGCTTTTGAGTATACTCTATTACTTATATGTATAATTTAATGATATCACACATGATCAATACTATAAATTTATTGTCTGGGTAACATGCTTTTTGTCGAACTCAAGAACCAAACTGATTGCCTGAGGCCATTACATCGATTTTAAATGGACCGCGCAATAAAACATTGGAAATGTTTTTTTTAGTATAGATTTATATAGGAAACAATTTTTTAAGATATAGCAAATGAAAATAGCATATACTTAGTATAATTGGCCAATTGTTTTGTTACCAACAAACGATACAATATATCCGTATATTTGCAGAGAGAAATCAATTTTCATTATAATGATCCATTTATTCAATTTTCTTATCGAGAAAGTGGCGAGTGCAAGGCCGTAATTACCATTGGTGCAAATGAGGCAGATGCCTCACTAAAATTTGAAAGTTTCTTGAAAGTAGAAAAGTTTTACTTTAAACTTGAATTAATTATGTGGTGTCTTTGTACTAAATAAATACTTTCAACTTTTGTTTCAATTTCTGTAAATCTATCGTCTCACCAGGTGTTTCATAACAGTTTATAACGCATGTACATATCATTCAAAACGTGAAAACTTTTAAAGGTTGTCTTTAATTTACTAAACCCAGGGGCCCGCTTTACAAAAGAACTTATGACAGTGACCAAAAACTTCAAGGGGTTTTAAAATATTGCAAATTAATGATTCAGTTAAAAATTATTAGCATAAAAATATGTTTCAAAATTCTTGTAAAAAATTAAAACCATTTTAAATATATGTCAGCTAGAAAGTTATTTGAAAAATTTCATTTGGTCTTAGTCGTAAGTTCTTTTGTACAACGGGGCCCAGGTTTCGGGAGTCCCCGCCCTTCCCCCGAAGATCCCAATCAGGATACTACCCGCTTGGGATCTTCGGGTGGTCCCAAGTTCCCTTGCCTCACTAAAAATTTGAGCCTAGTTACGACCTTGAGAGTGTCGGTGATTGTTAAATAAATGAATTTCCAACAAATATAAAAAAAGCCAGTAATATTTCACGAACTGTTCTTTGTAGATAAAATGGAAGAAATTAGATGTATCTTTCCAGACTATATTGTCCAGAGGTAGATAAAACATGTCATTCTTTCATCGAAGACAGAGAATCGGTTCGAAAGTAAGTAAAGATATTGTTCAAAGTTATAGTGGTTTGATTTAATAAAAATCTTTTGATTATAACCCTTGAATTTTTCATTTACTTTAGGTCACTATATTCAAAACCAAAGAAAGGCGAAATCAGGTTGAGATAGATGAATTACGAGGACGCGAAAGAGTTAAGATCAAGAAAAAATGATCAAGAAAAGGAGGTTGTTTTCCACGATGATAATATTGGTGCAGACTATAAATGGCACATGAGCCCGAAAGGGGAAGAAAAGTCCACAAGCACAGAAAATGCAAAGTGTCTGACGAATGTCGAGGAAAATCATCATATCAAAGAATCTTGCAGCAAACATGGTTTTGAATCAAAAGGAATTGGAAAATCATTGTTGAAATCAAATGACAAAGACAAAGAAAAATGCAAAGACCATATGTTTATACAACCATCAAAGAGAGGAAAGAATGTAAAAAAGTGTAGGTATCATAATGATGGATACCCCAGTGCTCGTCTTTACAAACATGTAGAAATAATCGAAAGAATAGTTCATACAATTGAACGAGATGTAAAAAATGTCCCAACTGTATTCTGTAGCAAAAATAAAGTAGTATCAATGAACGAGAAGAAGCAGAAATGCAAAATATTTTCCAAACCAAAATCAAGATTGTTAGCTACAACAAAGCAAACACCGAAAAATGTTGTGAAACATTTCCATCAAGGTACTGAAATATACTACTTAAAAACAGAGTACACATCAAAGCTTAGACATTCATTCCCGTTAGAAGGATGTAAAGATACAGCTAATCAAATTTATAGAAAATACCTAAAAATGCGTCCATTGCCAGTGAGGTACTCTGACATTTTACAAAAAATCAAAGAAAAAATGATAGAATTTGATCGTCGAAGTGTTTCAAAAAATCATAAGAAACACGAGCATCCCATCATTTATAGAAATCACAAATATCCAAAATTGCCTGAAAATCTAAGATTCCTTTTTTCTGGAATAGATCAAATGCCAAATCAATCCATTCATCTTTTCCCGGTATTTGGAAATGCCAGGAGCCTTGACGAATTTGTACAAAGAGAAATTACTCAAAGCAAAGAAAGCAATGAAGTAAATTCTTCATTGCATTCAATGAATTTGGAGTTAATTAGACTCCGTTCATTTCACAACTTCCCTTCTTCAAAGTCAGTTTCAACAGTGAAACTTGCTCGTCAAGGATTTTATTATTCCGGTGAAAGTGACACAGTTATTTGTTTTGCTTGTGGATTCCAAAAGAGTAACTGGCGAAAGGAGGATGATGTAGATGTTATTCACCGTACTTCCTCTCCTGCCTGTCCACTTCTGAATTCGTGTTCTACAAGTAATGTGCAAATCAATGGAAATCAAGTAAATAGTTTTGATGAAAATTGTGAAAATCGACGAGCAAATCTCCAAAGTGCTAGAAGCGAAAATTTACATGCTGATAGACTTCCACACAATGCTCAAATAACCAATGAAGAGGTACCAAGAACAGAAAAGGACAGATATGACTTGCAAAATGGCTCTGTACAAAACCATTCTCCAAGCAGAACATCAAGTGATCAACTCACAAGAGCAAGGGCTCAACAAGAGAAGATTAATGCATTTATTCGAGAATTAGATCCGCTTGGTATAAACTTTGATCGTCCAAAGTACCCTTCATATGCAGTGTTAGCGGTCAGAATCAGTGCATTTGCGGATTGGCCTTCCAGTATCACCCAAACCCCCAGAGACCTTGCTGTGGCAGGGTTTTTCTATGCAGGATATGGAGACTACACCCGATGCTTCTTCTGTGGAGGAGGATTGCGAAATTGGGAACCTGGAGACGATCCTTGGACAGAACATGCTAGATGGTTTCCAAAGTGTGCTTTCCTGAGACAAAACAAAGGGGACGAGTTTGTTGCACTGGTGCAGATTGAACACCAAGTAGGTCACATGCTAATGTAAATGCTATATTCTATTTGTGCTCTTTATTTTACCACGATGTTGATTTTGCAAAATCTGCAAATTTTAATTTGAAGGAGACAACAGAACAAACTAATGGTTACATTGACGACCAAGCGAGTGGATCAGAAAAGACACAGTCACAAATTCAGAATGTGATTACACATTCAGCATTTTTAAGTTTACTGGAAATGGGATACTCAAATCAAAAAATCCAGGAGGCATTTGATCTCTTGAAAGAAACAAAGGGTATATTTTTTATAACAGTTTTCATAATAAATATCTTATACATCAGTAGTGTATAAAGTTGTTTTAATATAAGGGTCCTTCGTCGGACCAATAATGGGAAGCACAGATGAGCTGTTGAGTAAAAAAAAAATCCCCAGTTCAAATCTACCAGGAAAGAGGAAAAACGATAACATCAAACAGACTAACTCTTGAGTTTTAAGTTATACCCTTGTTTAGAGATTGTAACTCAAAAGTCAGACTCCTTTGACGTTTGAGTGAAATTTTTTGTCGGCACAAATACCGGAAGGTGCAACATAAAATTATATTACTTAACATAAAAGTTGCTTTTGCTTGGAAGTGGGTTCTTACATAAAATAAAGTGCGTAATATCTCAATGGTCAAAGTTTTTATGTAAACTATGGTTCAATCAGTATGTCATTCCAACATTTCTGATGATATAAATGTATTAGCTTTAAAAAACCTCATATTTATACTTGCCTTAATGTCCTATTCGAAAGATGACGTTGTAAAAAATGACCTGGTAGTTGAAATGTAGATCATAGCTAAATGTCTGAATTAGGATGTATTCTTTTCATGAGTATTTGATAAAGAAATATGCACTTTACTGTGATATGTTCTTCAATTTTTGATTAGTTTCAATGTGTTAATTGCGATAATTTTATATTGACAATCTGTATTGTAAATAAGATAACGCCTGATCTACATTATATCCATTCTATGATGAAACTTTTACACAGTTTATTTTTTACTTAGCAAAGTTATGACATGTACAAACATTTCAGAGGCTATGCATATCAAGGCTGAAGAATTGCTAGATATCCTTTTGGATCAAAAGGATAGAAACCCAGGAGACACGTTACCTTCCTCTGCTTCAGCATCGTCAGAATTGACACCAAACAACATTGAAAAGACAAGCAAGGAACGCTCTGAAGGAAATATAAAAGTTGGAAATGGTGAGTTGATAATTTATTCTTATCAGTAGAAATCATTATTTTCCAAGAGAAATAGACATTTTCTTTGGAAAAAGAAATGAGAGAGAACATCCTTTTCTTTTTTTAGATTCTGAGACACGTAATCCAGAAAACAAATGGGATGCCAGTCAATCATTTTCGTCGATGACATTAGAAGGTACAATTGATTCAATGAAATTATTAAATGAGATAATTGTAAAATCAATCTTACTAAATTGCTTTACATACCATGGTTTGAATAGCAGCAAAGATCATTCAGTACAGTTTTTACCATTATTTTATCATTAAGATACAAAGTCACTCATTGAAGAAAACAGAAAACTGAAAGATCTTCGACTTTGTAAAATTTGTCTTGAGAACGACGCATCTATCGCCATGTTACCTTGTGGTCATCTCTGCTGTTGTCCAGACTGTGCTCCGGCCATGAGGAAGTGTCCAATATGTCGACAGTTTGTGAAAGGAACAGTTAAAACATGGCTGGTTTAATGATGCTTTGGAATATTTTTAGCTATAAAGAATGACATACATATAATAAACCTACGTAATTTACGTAATGGAATGTGAAATTACATTTCTATTTAATTTTTTATTTTATAAGCAAATAATAATCATGAATATTTTTGATATTTGTGCCAAAGAAACTTGTTACGTCAACTGTCTAGCTACCTCAATAAATATTATATTTTTTGCGAAGAATTTATTATAAGATGTTTTTATATCATGTTTTAATTGACGATAAATAAAGGGAAACCTGTTAAATTGAAGATAATACAATGGACTTCAAGAAAAAGTGTGATAGAATGCATTACATGCATTTAATTTGATGAATAGCTGTTTGGTATTAAAGAATATACAAGTGTACGTAGATGTATTTTAATTCTTACATTGATTACATATCCGAGGTTACTAAATGTCAAACTTAAAAGATGTTAACTACGTCAGATGTTCAATAAGAGTTTTTTTTTTTAAATTGACACTTAAATTTCAATTTCTGAGAAAAAGTCAAGCTGTTTTCGGTGTTGATGGATTTAAACAGAAAACGTTTTGTTAAAATAAGTCTTATTTAAAACTACGCCATTTAAATTCAAATGTTAGAATCAAACAACTAAACAATAGAAAAATTCAATAAACTTCGAATCATTACCGGACTCATGCTGAGGACAACAAAAGAATGACGTCAGCACAATGTTTTACTTCCTGTTTGTGTTGATTGACTCCTAATATTGATAATGACTTGTTGGTTTTAATGAATGGACGGAACGCGGAAGAGTAGATGAGTCAAGATTTTGAGAACCTCTACAACAAGGAAGCAATCGTCTTTGTCACACTACTGAAGAACGTACTAACTGAAGAATCTCTAATTTCTAATTCAGTGGGGGAACCCCTACAGTTTTGCATATACTAACCAAAACTTCTAGCCCACCATTTTAATGGATACTTTCAGGCAACGGTGTAGGCATGCAATTTGCGATGTTAGTATTGGTCACATCTTACGAATAAATAATAATAAATAAATAAATAATCACGTTTTAATGAAAATTACATATGAGTTGCTTTTAAACCCATATGTAATTTTCATAAAAAAAGAGTATTTATTTCATTATTAATTGATATTGTTTGAATTACTGATGAAATAAATGGAAAAGCCTAATATTGCTTGTGACCACCATTTGCATGGATAAATGCTCGACAACTGTTAATTCAGATTTCTCAAATGAGAAATTTTGCAAAACCTTACCTCTTTTATACTGCAACCAGCTTGCAATATACCAGAGGTTCTTCTGTGAATGTGCTGCATTTATTTGAAATGAAATGCTTTTCTTTAGTAAAGGATTTTGTTTAAGGACACCAAAAACGAAAATCAAAGAGAACAAAATCATTTACAATACAATACACGAGCTCGATTTTTCTTTTCACGATATTCTTCAGTGCTTTCTTGGTGTTAAAAGACGATCATTACTAACAGAAACCTCGTGATGTTTTGATATCATATTGTCGCATAGGAAAGATTGTGAAGCTTTTGAAAAAAAAGAGTGGCAGGTTAGAAGTTTTAAAAGTATATAAAAAATTTATTGATAGATGCACAATGCATTCAAAATAAATAGATATTTTATAATTAAAACATTTTACAAAATAAAAATACAACTTTAGACTAGTGGAAGAAGTTATTTCTTTCAAAATATATATAAATAAAAAAGAATCAAAAGTTAGAAAAAAATGGAACTAAATCTTATTTTCTTGAAGAATTCGTATTCCCTGTGATATTTAAATAAAAAAAAAAACAATGCATATTCAAACTATACTACTTGTTTACTATAATCTTAAGCATTTGTATCGATACATATACGAGGGTCGTTAGAAAAGTTCGCGGACAAAGTGATTTAGGGGAAAATTACAGTGTTCTTTAAAGGATGATGCAAGTTTTATTAAATGACCAGCAATTGATGATAAGTATTCAAAAAATCAGATGAATTTAATAAAAATATCAAAATATACAACGATTTTTACTTTGCGGGAATAGGATCCACGGAGCACCACTTGATATTTCTACGACGTCAGGTGACGTCAAACAACATGACTGCAAACCTTTCAGTTCCACACACTTTTCATGTCTTTTAACCCATTTATAAAATGTATCTTTATACCATGATTTGTCAAGTTTTTGTATGATGTCTTTCGTGGTATATCGTAGATCTTTCAGGTCAGAAAATCTCTGTCCATGCAGTTTCGCCTTTAGATATGGAAATAAAGCAAAATCCATAGGCGCAAGATCCGGGCTGTATGGGGGGGGGGGGGTACTGCAAGAGCTCAAAATCCAGTAAATCGATTTCCAACATGGTTGACTGTGCAGTATGTGCTGGAGCATTGTCCTGGTGAAATATTATTGAACTTAAATTAGCAGCAACCTCCGGACGCTTCTTTCGTAAGGCCTGAATCAAGTCACGGCGAACAACCTTCAATGAAATTGTGTGTTATGAATTTTATAACCAATTTCATGAAAATCTCTCATAACAAATTAAAAATTGCTCACAAGCATTTTCGAAAAAAAAAAAAAAAATAAATAAATAAATAAATTAAAAAAAAATAATTTTAATAAGTTTTAGTATAATTTTCATTGACTTAATTATTTACCTTTGAATAATAGTTAGCGTTGACAGTCTGTCCACTCGGAACGGCATGAGTTAATATCATTCCTCTTATGTCCATGAACATGATAAACATGTGTTTTCCGACAGATCTTGTCACCTTTGCTTTCTTAGGTGGTGGCGACCCTTTCCTCTTCCACATGCTGGATTGTTGCTTGGTTTCCGGATCAAAGTGGTGTAACTCAGGTCTCATCTGTAGTGATTATTCGACTAAGAAACGTGTCACCTTCATTTTTACAGCGTCGTAAAAATTCGCTGGATGCAGATACCCGCCTTTGTTTTTCATCCGCAGAGAGCAATCTGGTCACCCACCGTGCACAAATTTTTTGAAAGTCAAGATTTTTTTGTAATTATATGATGTATTGTTGGAACACTGAAGTCGAATTTCTCTGCAATATCACGCACAGTGACTCTCCTGTCATTATTTAATTCCCCAAGCACCGATTCAGTTATACTATTATCCACTTCTTGTGGTCTTCTTGTTCGCTCATCATCAAAAATATCAGTCCTTCCATCTTTAAACCTCTGATGCCATTTGTATACCATTGTTCTAGACACATGTGGACCATCTCCAGCAGCATCTAAGAACATTTTGGTCTCCATCGGCGATTTTCCTGCTTGCACACAGAATTTTATGACGGCCCGGTGCTCCATGACGTCCAGTGACGTTAATGTTTTTGACTTAATTTTCAAGAGCTGGTCATCCATATTCAGCGATAAAAACGGTCAAAAATTTTCCAATTTAATTGAAATTTTCACAAAATGACTTTTAACTATTATTCTGACGTCATGTAAAATACCGTGCATTTGTAGGCGCTTAAAATGTACATTATTTCAATTAGGAAATGTGCGTACAAAAAAAAAAGCTTTCAATAAATTGACATGCTCCGTGAAGCATATCTTATCATAATAATTTAGCTGTAAATTTTTTACGGAGCATTGAAAAAAATCAAATTTTTGCATAATTATTGGAAAATACCTCAAGTTCTTATCTGCAAAGTTTCGCTGGTTTAATGCAAATATTCCGCGCACAATAGAATTTGTCCGCGAACTTTTTTTAACAACCCTCGTACATCTACACGTAAGTATGATCCCAGGCACATCATCTTTAAACACTTTCTCTGTTAAATGTACAGATGTTTTCTTACAAACGTCTCATTCAACATGATTGATTTAATTAAATGAAGGTACAAATGAGAATTTTTTCTTCTATATTTTTGTTTTAGTAAATAACAGTACAATTAATGACATGTTTGAAGAGTAGAACAAAATATAGAATCAATAAAATATACATGCACGCAGGTGAGTTAAGGCTAGGTATAGGCATTTCTATGCAAATAAACTGATTGAAATGCTTAAGGACTTTATCTATTATACAGAGAAAGTTCAAACTTACTGTCTAATACAAACTTGGTACCCATGACATGAGATAGCCAGTACACATAATGACGTCATATTATGACGTCATTGTTCTCTACTACACAAGATTATAACGGACATCAACAAAAATGCTTCGGCGCAAGGGCATGCTCTATTTTTTTTAACTGAAACAAGGTATATTTAGAAGCAAAATATTCCAAAGTTTGCTGGTATTGCTGAACAAATATCAACATCTCAGTTGTATAACTTCTTTTAGTAAAGTTTTAAGTTGAATAACGGTAAAAATGTACAGTCCGGTATAAGTTTCCTCAAATTCCGATCAAATGAGAAAATCGCAGTACAGTTAAGGCTACACATGAAGATTATATGGTAATGAGGTCATAATGAGGTTTGACGTCATGACAGTTGCTCCGCCTTGATAGATCCATATAAGGAAATAGAGCTCAAAAAAGCTGTTTAATGATGATTGCGAGAATTTGTAATGAATGTCTGTATTTTCAGGTTTAAATAAATAAACATTAGCGATTTTCTCTTATATAGTAACAACACGTCTTCGAAATAATTCTCTTTTAATTGTGTCGTTTGGCTGCATTCGGCTTCAGCAAAGCGCTTGCACTCGGTGACACGGAATGAAAACGTGGCGACAGCAGCTGAGATATGCAGTGGATAAATGCAACAATCAGGCAATCTTTAAAGAGAATAGAGATAAAATAAGAGACCTGGGCCTTGTTTATCCTTTTGATGAGAAGATGATGACGTTATTTCGGGAAATCATGGAAAACTTGTCGAGACGATCCGCACTACCTCCCTAGGTCCCTTTCTGTTCATTAAGGTGTGTATGTGCATAGGTATTAACATGTAGACATATTATTCTTTACATCGATGTAAAATAAAGTTGAACATGTACAATAAGATGTATTGTTACAGTCCGTCACAAACTGCAATGCAGTGCCTTGTGTGTACCCCCCCCCCCCACACACACACACGTACACACAAACACACACAATATGAAAGTTGCACACTTTT